ACCTGAAGCAAAAGCATATGCTCTAAACTCTCAGAAAAGCAAATATTGCAGAGATGGCAAACTTTTATGAATGTCCAACTGAGAAGGCAAAAGAAACAGTTCTTTGTATAAAACTGAGCCTGACTCATAAAAAACAAGCCTTCAGCTACTGCTAATTTCCTCCTTTGCAATCATTTGATTGCAGAGGGGGGAAGGAACCACTAGAAATTGTTTACACTGTGTAAGAAAAAGCCCAAGCAATGGGGAACAATGATGTTAATGAGCAAGAGGATAATACTCAGCAGGCAACTGCTAGCAAAAATCATTCAGCATCAGGATCCCTTTTGTCATCTTATCTCCATAAAGAATCTGGAAAGCCATGACGTAGTAGAATCACAGAATCATAGCACTGGGTACCCAAAATATGAGAGACTTAAGCATTTGTTCAATTGTCTCATTTTCCAATTACAACTTGCCAAAAAATAAATTGGAAAAAAAAAAAAAAAACTTATTGAATAATGAGTAATACAGGTTTATTTCTCACCCCAACCTTTTACTGGACTGGACAGAATGATTATCACAACTCTTTGCAATGGCTCTTTACTTTTATTTTTCATGACAGATAGGGAAGATGAGCCATAAATGGATTCAAACAAGAGGAAAGATGATTCAAAAAATCCCAAATCCCATCCTGCTCTTTGTCCTCACACCATCACTAAAAGGTCAGAAATCAGAGGTATGGAAATTAGATGAGAACTGGATAGTACAGGAACTCCTCTATACTAGCATATACTCACAAGTATCCTTTCTTTTCCTTTCAATAATTATGGTGGGGATGAGTTGACAGTTGGACTAGATGACCTCAGTGATCTTCTCGAACCTTAATGACTCTATAATTGCACGATTCTACATCATTCCCAAGCTTTACCAACAGTCCATGTGCTGCACCAAGGCACAATAAATCCTCTGGGTTGTTCCTGGCAATGTGACAATGCTAAATAAGTTATCACATCCGCAGGTTAAAAAGAACATTTCTCTATTTGAAATGTAAGTGAAGTTCCGTCCAACTGCTTTACAGCTTCATTGCTTATAATTGCAGAGGGCTCATGCTCTCTTCAAGCCCAATCACTGTACTTCACACTAAACTCTAATTATACAATCTAGCATGAAAAAGGCAGAGATACAACTCTGTAACAAGCTTAGGCAAAACCGAAGGCCCACAAAGGGCTAAATCAAAAGCTGGCTCACATCAACTCTATTCTTTGTGCAGCCAACCAAGACTAATTAATGCTTTTAATGTCAGTTTACCCCTTTTGGCACTATAAATCAGAACACACAGCCTTTACGAGCTAACAAAAGAATCTGTGAAAGGTGTAGCTTTTTAACCAAACTCACACATTCAAATGCATTTAATCAGAAACAGGTATATTGAGCAGCATTGTACTCAGGGAGCAGATTCATCTACAGGCTGTACACAGGGAACATTCATTTATCAATACAAACAAGGCTGGCACGCCGGGAAGAGGTGGTGAATTATACATCTGAAGGAACGAAGGAAGGGCCATCACTTCCAGCATGGCTTTTGTTGGAGCAGAAATGTGGAACGAGTGCTGGGGAAGCACTGCAGGGAATGGGGAACTCATTGCCCATGCACTGCAACCTCCCAGGCAAAAGCCTTCGGGACCTGGGAGCACTTCTGCACTTCTCCAGCAAGATTGGCAAGCAGCACTCAAGCAGACCTCCTCCCATCACCTCACTGGCAAGGCCTCCAGGCATTTTCTCAGCACACTGCACTCGTTTGGATGGAGTTTGAGGAGTTTTCTGCCTTCGTCTCTTCAGGAAATGCACAGCTTCATTTGTGGTTTTGAAATCCATGACTCAAAAGCAAAGTATATATATAAAAATAGACGTAACCGCATCGCTTTGCTCTCTATGCATAAGCCATGATGCCTGCTCACTGCGGGTCTGCTGGATCCCAGTCCCTACCAACAGGTTCCAAAGGCTATGCATGACTACAAAAAGATGCCGGGGCCAATGAGCTTTTCACTGGCATCCATATGATGAGATACAGCTACAGTGCATTTCCTCGGCTCAAAGGAGGAAAAGAGACATAGGCTCATCTGTCATAAAGTCATAGAATTTTTAAGGTTGGAAAAGACCTGTAAAATCTCCAAGTCCAACCCCAACCAATACCCACCATGCCCACTGACCACGTCCCAAAAAAATGTTTTCAGGAAGTGAAAACTCACATGAAGCAAGGATGGACAAAGTAATTAAGGATCGGTAATGTAATCAAGGATTGAAAAATGTAATTGAGGATGGCCAAAGATGTCAAGGATGGTCAAAATAATCACAGGTCCCAAACCTTGTCCACTTCTGTATTTATGACTGGCATGGGAGAGGGAAGACAGAACCCCAAACTCAGCACCTTGCAGCACCCAGAGTTGTCCTGGGGTACACTTAAGAGAGTCTGGCATCCTGATCAGATGGGTGGCAACACTGTCCAAGACAGGATTTGGAACTGGATGGGCTTTAAGGTCCCTTCCAACCAAAGCCATTCTATGGTCTGTGATCTTAATCGTTCCTGAAGCTCCTAGTGCTACATGTTTTCTCACCACCTACACAAGTACCTGAAATGCAAACGTCCTCAAAGGAGGGCTCTGAAGCAGTGGGTAGTGCTCCTGTGCCCTGATTTATGTTCCATCTACCTGCACAGCACTACAGTGTAGACACAAACACGCTCCTACCTTCATTTTCCAAGCCATGAGATGAGCAGCGTGCTCTGAACTCAAGCATTTTCACAGACATAAACACATCAAAAAACCCACAACGTGTGCAGAAAACTACATTTTAAAACATGGACAATATTCTAACACAACCTATTCCCCTCCTCTACACATCATCCAGAGGAAAAGAGGGAACGTGACTCACCCTGGCCTGGGTACCACCATCATTAGACAGCACCGTGGACAGGGATCTCACTTCACTCTACCACTGGATCCTGGGACCTACAAAGATTGGTGCTATAGATGGCATCATCCAAATCATATGTGCTCTGAAAGGAAATTCCTGTCCCAGAGCAGAGCTTTGTGGAGTATTGTGGACCCCACAAAACTGGAACCTCATGACCTTAATGGTTTTTTTCCAACCTTAAAGATTCTATAGAACACTCGCAAGACTCCAGATCAGAAATTCTCCATGTGAAATCAGAAATTGTGAGGTGAAGGGAGAATCCATGAGGTCCAAACAGGCTTAGCACTAGGAATCATAGAACCACAGAATTATAGAATTGCTCGGTTGGAAAAGACCTTACAGATCATCAAGTCTAACCTCAACCCAGCCATCCTACCCTAACTCTAACAACCCTCTGCTAAATCATGGCCCTGAGCACCACATCCAAAGGGTTTTTAAACACACACCAAATTCCATCCACACACCACACACTGCTCACAGACAGCCTAATGCTAAAATGCATTTCTAAATGTTTACCTCAAACCCAACCATGAACACAGATAAGAGAGGTTATTTTTAGACATACATGGGCTTTCCACATTATGATTAACTTTTGCATTGGTGGCATCCCTCTGGATTTGGCAGGGAAAAGGGATGAGGGCTTACTTCCTGAGCAGGAAACAACCTGAGCAGACAAAGTTAAGAGGTCAGCACAACACCCACCAAGAGTTTAACTGAATTCTTCTGTCCTTTCATTTCCAAACACCCCAATCTCTCAGCAATTCAACTCCACCTCTGCCATCTTCCTCCTTCACTGTTCATCCACTGTGTGCCTTTCTCTTTGCTCCCAGCCCTTCTGCAGCCCTGCATTTCTGTTTCCTCTGCTCAGACACAGCAGCACAGCCCCATCTATGCCTCCCATTGCTGCTTCAGCCTCGAAATATGGGGGGCAGAAAAAGGGGACATATGGAGAGTCAAGGACCTCTTTTTCCCTTTATCCTTTTCTGGTTTGATATCCAAGAGAAAAGGACCCATCGTTGCTGCACGATCAGCAAAAGCAAAGTTTTTCTGAAACCTTTGGCACTGTCCCATCCTGTTTGGGACATGTGGAGGGAAGGAAGAAACATCAGCCTGCTTTCATCCATAAGCCAACAGCAGGTACTGAACCAGAGCAGGGCTTTTCCCAATGCTGGGCTGGAGCACTCAATGGGCTAAAATACTGGGAGAGCAAGGGAGACAGCATGCATCATTGTTCAATGCAAGTGCAATAATGCAACAGATCCCTGTGCAGAGAGCATCCATCAGCATTGCTGCTCTCTGCCTGCATCTGCTTTTGAGCAGCTCTGACTCGAGTGGGAGCAGAACGCTCAGTGGGCAGCCCAGCTGCTGACATTTAAGGTTTGTGTTACTAAGCAATCAGCAACACACATAAAAAGGGGGAATAAAAAAAAGTCTATTTTTGCCACAGTCCTGCGCAAAAGCAGCTGGGTTGGGTCAGGCTGACACTTCAGCTGTCCTGGTGTTTTCTCTGCAGTAAGAGCAGAGCATGAATAGCCAGGGGAAAATTCACCTACAGGGCAGACACACAGTGATGCTTTCCAAGCTGGATGTGGCTCTGGGCAGCCTGGTCTGCTGGTTGGCAACCCTGCACATAGCAGGGGGTTGAAACTAGATGATCATTGTGGTCCTTTTCAACCCAGGCCATTCTATCATTCTCTGATTCTATGATTTCTTTTACAGAAAGCAGCAATAGAAACTGATAGAAAACCATCTATGGGCAGATGACAGAGCTGCATATGAGGACCATCCCTTTGCCAACCCACTGATTTTGACCCAGCTGATGCCTTTTGCCTTCTTTTGGATACAAAACAATTGTGTTTGCTAAGATGATATAAAGACTAACAACCACTAAAAAGCCAACTCTTGCAGTTCTTTACAAGAGCAGCACACACCTACTGTGCGTTCTATCCCAGTCCTCATTACCTCACACTTATTAACTTTATAAATCAACACAGTATTTCCATTAAAATGTAACCATTCGAGTACACCATGCAAATGTGAGTCAGTACCTCTTGTGAACAAACTTCCTTGGAGAAATGGAGATGAAGTGGAGAAGTGAAGATGGAGATGATCCAGATGGTGATCTGCCTTTGGCTGCGGGGCAGTGGGACTGGTCACAGCATTCCACAGCTCTAAAGGAACAACAGAAAGAGGATCATCAGTAAGTTTGCTCTGTTGGCAAACCCAATGCACAGAAAGCATGGCTTGTCCCAGCATGGAGATGTCATCTTTGCACTGCAGCAAGAGCAGCAAGGCATGCGTGCATGAAACGGACCCACTGCTGGGTGGGTGCATCTACTGCAGCTCCCTTAAAATAAATGTCCACTTGTTTAACTTCTAAAAACTCAAAGAACATGTTTTTTTTTTCCATCAGGATTTCCACCAGATTATTCAGCATTTGCATCTTCTCTTCAACCAAGACTGAGAATCTTTCTGCAGGCATCAGCTACGCTCGGTGGCTTTGGGTTGGGTACTCACATGGTGCATCTTGCACTGAGGCTGTATGAGCTGAAACTCAATGCTTTCCTATATCCTGCTGGAGGACTGCATATATCTAGAAACAGCCAGCATCAGGAGCAGATAAACCAGAACCAGGGTCTTCTCAGCTTCCAAAAAGGAGAAAACACGGGAACTCAGCCAGTTCCTGGGCAAGGGTTTGGTTTTAGGCCAACCAAGCTTTACATGGCATTCCCACACCATCCTTTCCCAGCTGATAGGAAAACTGAGGGAAATGACAATGAAAGAGCCCACTGCACTGCTCAGGGACAGCTCATGGGCAACCTCCCATGCTGCCCCCAATACACAGAGGAGCAAAAAACCCAATGTTTGCAAACCAGGATCCATATTTCTTGTGGGTCAGTTTATTTCACCACCCTGGAACCAAAGGGCTTGCAAGGAGAAAGATGGAACCAATGGAAAAGAGGAGAGATAGATTCACTTCTCTTGACATTCCTGGGATGCCCTGCTGGAGGACAACACCAGCGTGCCACTGGAGATGGCATCCTTAGAATAAAGCCAAAAAACACAGTGCTAGAGCCTGAAATTTTGGGTAATCTTGATGCTGTGACAACCATGTGATCACTGTTCACAATGTGGGGATGTGGCACTGAGGAACATGGGCAGTGGGCACGGTGGGGTGGGAACCTTGGATGCCTTTTCCAGCCTTAATGATGCTACGTGCACACGGTTGCCCTCTCTCCCTCTGCCTTACAACACACTGTGTGCGTTGCTTGGAGATTCCTCACATTTTTGGGGTTTCTGGCTTTCTTTGCAGCTTCCCAGTTCAATGACATAACTACAGACCGTCTCCAGGAGAGAGAGGAAAAGCAAAGTGAGCTCCAGCAGAAAGGACGACTTGACAAATCTCATCACATCACGCTCAGCGCTGGCAAATGAGTCTCTCTTGGAGCACATTTTGTACTTGGAGTAGCCTCAGTGCTTCAGGAGGTACCAAATATAACACAGCCCCGTTTTAACTTCCTTCCAGGAATACACACAGCCATTTATCAAGAAGACGTGGGCTGCAGCTTCACTTCCAAAAGCTTCGGTAACATTTTGTCAAGTTAAATAAGTGATTCCTTTTGCAGCGAGAAAGAAACAAGAAAAGCAGTCTGGGTGCCACAAACCTGGGTGCAACTCCTTCCCCATAGCTGCAGCCCCCCAGTCTTCCCCCAGCATCCTCGAGTGTGCCCACCTATGGGACCAACCCTCTTTCCACCCATTTTACACTCAATCTCGATGCCTTCGCCCTCATCGCTTCACCTTAGTAGCTAAATTTGTCAAGTTTTGCATTATTTTTTTTTTTAATTTATTATTTTTACATCTTTCCACCTCTATGGCCACAGAAGCCCATAAATTCCTCCGTGCAACTCCTGGAGGAGTGCCACGTCTGCTGAATGCACCAGTGGTGCTTTCCTTCCATATATCCAGCTTGGTTTAGCAGAGCAGTGCTGCAGTGACCTGCAGGGCAGGGGATTATCAGCAACTTCATCTTTCCATTCTTTTCCAGCTGTAAACAAACAGACAGAAGTGCTGTGCCCACCTCCTGTTCACCCCATCACTGGGGCTTCCTTCAGCCACAACAGCATCAGCACCTCCCTTATGGTACTGCCCACCAGGCACTCGGTAAAATCACCCTTTGGGGTCATTTTTAAGGTTCTTTTCTGCTTTATTCTTGACCAGAAGTCAAAGCCATTAGGTTCCTTATAATTCTGTGCTGATGCTGCTAGGAGATGGAGGCTGTCCATTACCTATGGACACAAAGCATCACTGCCCTCTTCTCTCTTTCAAAAAACACTCAGAAATGGTCAGAATTCAAGATAGATCACTCAAATGAGTACCTAGCAAAAATCTACTTCTATCCGAATTCTGTATGGCATTTATTGGGCATTTAGACAAGGAAAACATTTTTTAAAGAGAAAATGGCACATGAGGAGCCCAGGGTGGACATAAAAACCAATCCTGGATTGCTGGAACTGAGGGGCTTTGCTTCGTTTTGGCTTTTCAAGTTTCTGGATGCTGCTACACCTCCTCCAGCCCACATAGATTTAGAATCATAAAGTCATTCAGGTTGGAAAAGGCCCCCAAGATCTCCAAGCCCAACCCACCCCACCGTGCCCACAGCCCACAGTGTGGAACATCCCCAGGGATGGTGACCCCCCCACTCCCTGGGCAGCCCATGCCAGTGCCTTACAGTGCAGTTTCTTTGCTCGTCTACCAGATTTCTACAAGAGGAAAGGCACCTCAGTTTAAGGTCAGGGCTCCTGCACCTCCTGCTCACTGCTCTCAGCTTCCCACAGGCTTCTTCAGAGAGCCAAAGTTGCAGCAGCTTGCTGAATAAATTCATTAACTGAAGGAGAAAGCGTTTTGCTCAAGTTTCCCATTAACTTCTAATTTTACTAATTATTAGATTACATGCCCTAGCTTTTAAAGCAATTCACCTCTATCCAATTGAGCAAAGAAACCCAACAAAGGATTCCTGCAGCTTACTCCCTGAGTCCTCCCTTCCCTCCCGTTGTTTTTGGTGCCAAAAAGTTTAAACCCTTTAATATTTCCTTATAAGATTACTGGTGTTACTCAGTAAGAAAACTCTTTACCTGCTATCTTCATCAATTTGGAAGCAGGCAGAGTTTCCTTCATTTTATTTCTATCCTCCTCTGCTATGACCAATACTTAAGTTTGCTTCTTTTCACCGTTAGGGTGATCTCACAATTATTCTTCTGTCACACTTCCATCCATTTCTATCCTTTTCTATCCATTGCTTTTGTTCCTCTATAAAAAATCAAACTCCAGAGGTAGGAGCTGGGAACAGGGATTATGAAATCGATTAAGAATTAATTAGAACACATTGTGTACAAATCTCACCTTGGCAGACTGCATATTGTTAGGGCAAAACGCTGTGTTGGCACAGCTCGTTTAAAAACACACTCCATGACTTATCAAATGAAGATAAAAACCTTCACCGAGTTCCTGACATGCTGTAGAGTACAAACACAGCCTTCTCAGCTGAGGAAATGACTTGATTCAGTTGGATGGCACTGCGCAACTTTCCTCCTGAGCCAATTTTCTTCCTCAAAAACCTTCCCTGCGGATGGAATAGTATGGCCATCCAACAGGACGTTCAGCAGGACTGTGATTTTGGAAGGAAGAGAAAAACATCATGAGCTTAAATCCCACTGGACAAAGTCTAGCGATGCTTGGATGGAGCCAGGCACTCAAGCACCCATTGTATTTAAGTCTTATTCCATTGGTCTACTCAACACCACGTTGGTTTTAGCCAAAAGGCCAAAGAACCATTCTATGATTCCACAGCCTTGTGTTTAAGCCTCTGGGCATCCCAACCTAGCAAAACCAAGAATGTTCTTCAGCTCCAATGAGTAAAAAAAAATCAATTGACTGCAATTACTTAATGAGCATTCTTCTGCACAGTCCCCAGGTGCTCCTATCCCCATGCACTTTCAGCCTCAAAGCACCATCTTCTCCCAGCGCTGCACAGAATCATAGGCTCACCAAGGTTGGAAAAGACCTCCGGGATTGTCCAGTCCAACTGCCCACCCATCACCAATAGTTCTCACTAAACCACGTCCCTCAACTCAACGTCTGAACGTTCCCTGAACACCTCCAGTCCATTTCCAGCACCAGCCCAATGTGCTGGGCTGCATCCTTGTATCAAACGCAATTCTAATTCTAGACAGGAAAAATTATTCAAAGGCACAGAAGTAGATGATCAAAGTCATTCACCTCCTGTTTTCATCAAGGTTACACCACCACGGTATTGTGGAGTTGTTATTCTCTCTTGTGCAACCTGTACTTTCTAAGACACCTAGAGGTTATTAACCCACAGACAACTTTGCAGTCAAAAGCAAGTTAATTATCTAAGTACAACGTTAACTGAAGCCGTTCACTACACCACTGGCAATCCTGAACCTTCAAAGGCTTGGAATCATTGGAAAAGATTTCTAGGATCCTCAACTCAATCCCAGCCCATCCCACCATGCCCACTGCCCACATTGCTCAATGCCACATCCCCACAAATCTGGAACACCCCCAGGGGTGGTGACCCCCCCACAGCCCCTGGGCAGCCCATGCCAGTGCCTGACTGCACTTCCAGAGAATAAACTTTCCCTAGCATTGAATCCGAACCTCCCCTGGAAGAACTTAAGGCCATTACTCCCCTCCTAACAGAAAACACGGGAAAATTTCTATTCTAAAATTAAATGCAGCAATCACCTTAAAAACTAAAATTAAACTTTACAACTACAGCAGCCTCAGTTTGACCTTTCTCCGTCCTGACAAAAAAATCCAAGAATAACATTCTATTACGAGCCTTCATAGCACTAAAAAAAGAGGGATTAACGAGAACATGACAGACAATCTACTCAGACATGAGGACAAGCATCGACAGAGCTCCATTCCCATATAACCTTTGCTCACATAGTGAATAATTGAAGGGCTACAGCTCAAAGGCTGGGAGCAAGGAGACAGCGGAGAGAGTTGACCAGGGACATTTGTCATAGAGCCTCATGCATGTAGATGCTAAATCAGATCATCCAGACCACAGTTCAGTTCTTTTCAGGACACATCCAAAAATAAAACCTTGAGAAACCAGAAGTATTGGCAATATATATATATA